CCCCCCCCCCCCCAATTTAACTACAGCGATTACCTTTGATTACCAATAGTAAATTTGCAAAGTTTGGCTGCGAAATGTTTTAAAATGCGGAAAATATAGCCTTGCAAATTTGCAAATTTTGCATACTTTTGTATTGCGTGCGGAAATTGCTACCATTTTCGGCCCAAATGTGGTAGGAATGTGATAGGAATTTCCGGAAGGCTATATTTTCCTCATTTTACAACATTTCGCAGCCAAACGTTGTAATTTTACTAATTTTAGTATGCTCTTTCTAGCTGTGGTGATTTATTTGCATCTCCTTGCCCAGTTTTAAAATTAGTCTATAATGGGAATTGTCTATTGCGGCCTCGGGCCTCCGAGCATTCAAACCCTCGTATTTCTTTTCCCTCAGGAGACAGTGATAACTCGGACACAGATAGTGAGGAAGAAGGTGGTTTTGATAGTGATGTTGAAGTGGAGAAAAACAGAACTTATGAAGATAAAATTTATGCCAATCCCATGAGGAAAACGACTGGAACGAAACCACATTTGAAGGAGGAAAAAACAGCTGAAAAGTAAGGGTGTTTAACAGTTTTGTTCTCTAAAAGCTAGTACAGGAGCAGAATTTTATTTAACAAATATAAAACATTTTCCGTGTATCAATACAGTTATATCAACACGAGTGGAAATTGGGAAAACGAGAAATTGTGTGGAAACACACGACGCCCGAAGGGCGGCTCAAGTTTTTAGTAGGTTAAGGTTACAGAACACCTTTGAGTGTTAATTTTGCCTAAATTTTTTTATTGGTTTCCATGAAAGCATTAGACTAGTTCTACTATCTGACCAACTTTGGACGAAAAATGTTGAAAACTCGCAGAGTTGTTAAATAAAATACATTTCGCTGCAATAAGAAAAACATTGAAAATGTAATATTCAAATTTAATTTTCTCCCGAAGAATTTTACGGCAATTACTGATTTTTAAACGAGTTGTGCTCCTGCGGGTTTTAACGAATTTTTCTCAAATTTTCACAGGACATAGCCAAAGACGTCAGTTTCAAAATTGTGTTCGGCTTTGTTCTAATTTTGGATATTTTAATAATAAGGAGCAATTCACTCAATCGATTCAGAAATATATTGCAGTCGTCAAAGGAATCGCCATATCAGCGGAATGACGAAGTAAACAGAAATTTCCGAACACAGTTTTTTAGAACAACTATTTTACTGTATAGAAATGATATTTTCATAAATATATCTTAAAGCCAGCAGGAACATAACTCAAAAGCGCAAAGGCACCGCGACTTAATCTTTTCCTGAATAATTCTTACAATATTTTATTGTTTGTCAATTTTACAACTTTATCATATTTTGCATGCACTTGGCTAACATTTGGTGAAAATTTGATGAAAATCGGACTGATTTTGAGCGCGCAGTAGCGATTTTTTAAAGACAATACAATTTCTAATATTTAAAGACAATATATTTCTTGCTATGGCTTTGCCACTGAAAAATGGCCTACCTTCCGCTGCCTTTCTAACGATTACTAAACTCGTGACAATATTTTCCTACATAGAGCCGTTTGTAGCCGTGGATCAAAGACACCGCCAAAAGTTCGTCAACCCGCAAGGGATTCTGGAGATAGGCGAAAACGAATGAAACACGTCCAGGATCTAACCTTGGAACACGTTCATGGCTACCGGGGTTTCGACACTCGGAATAATGTACACTATCTGGCGGATGGTGATATAGTGTACCATACAGCTGCGACTGGGATTGTTCTGAGCCCTAAGGACGGAACACAATCTTTTTATCTCGAACATACTGATGATATAGTATGTCTTTCTGTCAACAGACATCCGAAATTTAAGGTATTTGCCTTTTTTGTAGACTTCTTACACGCTTTAGACTTCTTACACGCTTTATACTTGAGTCGCAGCAAGAATTTGTTGTTGTTAGTGGTGGTGGTCTTGCTGCTTCTGTTGTTTGTTTGTTTGTTTGTTTGTTTGTTTGTTTGTTTGTTTGTTTGTTTGTTTGTTTGTTTGTTTGTTTGTTTGTTTGTTTGTTTGTTTGTTTGTTTGTTTGTTTGTTTGTTTGTTTGTTTGTTTGTTTGTTTGTTTGTTTGTTGTTAACCGTATTTGGTTTTACAGAATGTGGTAGCAAGTGGACAAATTGGTAACGAGCCTACTGTACATGTTTGGAACAGCGAAACAAAAGAAACATTATCCATTCTACAGACATCTCATTCCGTCGGTATTTGCAGTGTGAACTTTAGCTGCAGTGGCAAGTCGCTGTTGACTGTAGGTCTAGATGACCATCACACACTCACTATATGGAGATGGGCTGAAGGTTAGTACCATTTGTTTGAATTAGTTTATTAGGTAATAATGAGTAGGGGGGGGGTAAGGTGAGTGTTGATCAGTTGTCCTTGCAGCCGAGAGCTAAATTGAACGAGATGCAGCACCAATATGTCTGAGTGGAGTAGTGCTATGCGAACTCGCTCTCCCCTCTCTAATAGCGCCCCTCTCTACTCGGGCTATGCGAACTCCTGTTTTTGAGCTCCGGCTACTTTACAGCTCGACTGTCTGGATCCGATTGCATTGACTCACAATTCAGGGGACTAAGGTCTGTATTCTAAAAGCTGACACTCAAAGAGTGCAGGTTCATTCTGAACTTCCCTTGAGTGTCAATGCTGTTTTTGAATAGCTGGAAGGTTAGTGTCGTACCGTACTATATGTGACACCGCTTTCTGAAAAAAGGTATCAATTTCCCGTACGTACTGTACATGTAATACAAAATGACTGAAAAACGGCAAACTTCGCAGGGCTATATTGTCCGCGTTTTACAACATTTCGCAACGAAACTTCGGAATATTACTAATTTTGTGATGCTCTTTCAAGCTGTGATGAAATTTTTGTCTAGACTTGTTGAGATCAAAATTTTGTTTATTAGGTAACAGGTCCATTGACAATGGACCTGTTACCTTTACAATGGCATTGTTTAGCCTGCCGCACACGAGAGCAATTTCTCTCGTGTGCGGCTAGTTTTCGTGAGGATTTGACCTCTCGAGGCCTTGAGGAAAATATCTGTCGTGTTTGATATTTTTCACCTCGCGAGGAAAAAATCTCAGCGTCTGCGGATGTTGTGAGCTAAGTGCTGAGCTGTTTGAGTCAATTAGCCAATGACAAACCATAGTTTCTTCATGTGACTTGGTACAAAATGGAGGAAAATGCAAATGATTTTGTCAATTGTGTTGTTGTTGAGTAGTTTTCCCAACGTGTGCGGTGAAAATACATAGCTGAACTAGCTGACACTCGAGGCGTTGAGCTCAGCAAGTTTCTCTAGTGTGCGGCAGGCTTTAGGCGAGAGAAATTTCTTCGGGTCACGCCCCTCGGGTTGTATCTCGCTGAGAAACTTCGTTCTCGGTAATTAAAGCCGGTTTTCCACTTGCGAATATTTTCGCGCGAAGCGAATTTTTCTTTTGTCTTTATCCAATTAGTTCCAGATGGTTACAATTTAGAGACCAAGGACAAATGAAAAATTCGCTTCGCGCGAAAAAATTCGCAAGTGGAAAACCGGCTTAACTCTTACTTGTAAAATTCATGCATGAATAGTTAGTTAGGCTACAAACAAATCACGACGCGGTATTTAGGCCACACGTGCACTTTATGAAAGTTATGAATACTAATTCAGAAGCAAGGATGTTTGTCAATACAAATTCAGATTTTAAATCATGCTAATGAAGCGTGCGATTGTCCCCATGGGCAGCGAGTACTAATAAAGTGAATGCCCATAAATATCAGCTGCTCATATTTTAACTAGTTTTAACTAATTTTTGAGAACATAATTTACAGAACTTCAGACAATTGCTAGACGTGTTCCAGTGCTAAGCTTGCTAGGATGCTCCAAAGTCAATTGATGAACTGAGTATTTTTGGTATACGTACATGCTGGTGATAAATATTGACTTGCGAAACTAGAATAATGTAAAACTATAGAACAATCCGTGCATTAACAGAGCTGTAAGACTGCTGTTGAACAACAATGGCGACATATCTATATGGCTTTGAAGAAGATAGATTTCAACAAGCCGTCAGCCAGTACTTGAAATGTGTTATCTGTAGAAACGTTCTTAGAGATCCAGTGACGTGCCGTGACCATCAACATTTATTCTGTCGAGCTTGTATCACCACACATTTGGCGAACTTCGAGAGATGTCCATCTTGTAATGAAGAACTAAATGTCGAAACGTTGAGCGACGCCCCGAGAGTCGTTACGAACGTCCTGTCTGAGCTCAAGATTCGCTGCGACTTCTACAAGCGAGGTTGTATAAAGTTCGTAGAATTAGGAGACCTGGAGAAGCATTGCAAAGAATGCGAGTTTGGTCCAGCAATCTGTTTGAACCAAGGCTGTTTTATTGATGTGAACAGACGAGATTTAATGTACCATGAGCGGACAGTATGTGAACGACGGAGAATAGAATGTCATAACTGTGTTGAGCTGAGACAAGAGATGGGTACAATGAAGCAAACGTTGACAGGGATGAACGAGAAACTAGACATGGCAGCAGGCAATGAAGAAATGAAATGTGATTTAAAAGAAATGGCAAAACAACTGGAGAGAATATCGATGCAGTTACAGCATGGTGGCGGAATGAACACAAAGTCAAAAGTGATTGTAGCTGGTGGATTAAATGATGATGGTGGTGATAAAGCGTTACAATCTGTGGAAATGTTCGATCTATCCAAACAAGCATGGACTCTACTGCAACCAATGAACAAATGTCGTGTTACTGCATCAGCGGTTGTTTATAACAATCAAATGATAGTTTCTGGTGGTTTTGACAATGAAGATGATGTATTAAATTCCTTAGAAGCACTTGAGAATCTTGACGAAGTTAGTCCGTTGTCAACATGGGAAGATATTCCTGCTGAACTGCCCCAGAATTTGTTTGGTCACCAAAGTGTTGTATTTAATGATAATTTGATTGTTGTTGGAGGTGGAGATAATGAGAGACACTTTGACAATATCTCTGAAGTTTCTCTGGTTCCACCTTACACCAGTAAACTGTTGGCTTCAATGACAAAGAAGACAGCTGCTCATGGAATGGAATGTTTTGATGATAAACTTGTAATTGTAGGTGGAGGAAATATAAATACCTCTACTAATGTTGATAATAATGTTGTAATGTATGATGTTAGTAAGAATCAATGTGAAGTGTTGGCCCCCTTGCCCTATCCTGTGAAAATAATGGCCACAGTGAGATGGCATGATAATGTAATTGTACTTGGTGGGATGGAAAATGATGATGAAGCATTAAACAGAGTTTCAATTTATAATGTGAAGACCCAGAAGAGTCACATGCTTCCTCCCATGCTGTATAAGAGGAAAGATTGTACGGCAGTTGTTGTTGGTAGTATGATAATTGTTATGGGTGGGCTCGACGAGAACAACCATGTCCTGAAGTCTGTAGAAAGTTTCAATTTCAGCCGTTATACGTGGGAGGAACTTCCATCGATGCACGAAGCGAGAGCGTTCGCCACATCTGTTGCATGTTAACCCTACGTGCATACAGATGTTTCATTCGTAGTTTTCTCGACTAGACAGCAAGAAATGAACTTTTGATAACGTTTCCAGAAACGAAATTGCCCGTCACATTAGAATATAAATGAATGACCTTAATAAATATGTACTGATTTGTAAGCGTATGATTGTTGAAATAGAATTTGGTTAAAAAACTACGTGGCAAGTGTAAATTTAATTTGTGCGGAGGCAAGTAGGTGAACTGAAAATGTTTCGTCAAAATTACGAATCGTAAGTCAGTATGTCACATCATTTAGTGTGCCGTGCTCTGATATCTGGTGTTTTGTTGGGAAAATCTGGTATTTTGTTGCTCTATAATCTAGTATTGCACTAGCCTGCGAACAGGCTCTCTTTGAACTCTCTTTCTAATTCAATTCAAACAGCCTGTTCGCAGGCTAGTATTGCACTTCCAAGGTTTACAAATCTATAGATGGATTGCAACCAATCTCCTGCAAATTAAAAGGCAACAAAACGCCAGCCATATTGGTGCCAAATTCAATGAAAGAAAATGAGATTCTTTTGTTGAAATACTACCAACATGGCCGCCGTGACGTAACGTGGAATCGACCTACTAAAACCGTCTTAAGTTTTGAAATTTTTGAGTATATGTATGGAGTCCTTAAATTTTCGAAAATATACATCGAAAATTCATCATATCGTTTTCTTAATATCACGGTATGTCAGGATAGGAATCGGAATCGCATACATCTGGTCCTACCTTCAGATTGTAATTTATTTTAGATTACATGCGAAATGGATTGTTGGTATTGAATGGCCCTGACTTCAAGGTTCCGGCTCCATGTAAAGTAAAGAGACAGGGTTTTGAAAGGGCTATTCAAAAACAGCATTGACACTCAAGGGAAGCTCAGATTGAACCTCCACTCATTGAGTAGCCTGCGTGGCAGGCCCTCAGTTTTATGGGGGGCCTGATTTGCAACGGGCAGGGGGTTGCAAATCAGGCCCCCCATAAAACTGAGGGCCTGCCACGCAGGCTACTCATTGAGTGTGATTGAGTTTTTAGAATACAGACGAAATCTTTAACCGGATGAAGACCAATCTGGCTCAATTTTGTCCAAAGCGTACCAAAGCATGACGCTTGCAATTTACAACTTTTCATGTGATAGGATAGATCCTGCCTCCTCCGCAGGCTCCTCTATAGAGATCAAATTTAAATATCGGTAATATATAGATCAGCGCGTGCACTGCAAGCCCGATAAAGACGCACGCCTTTAGGCGCGCGCCCGCAACTAAGGACGAGCGCGCAAAGGAAAATGGGAAGACGAAAGTTCCGCGCGCCCCCGTTAACTTTCGTCTTTTCCTAATTAATTGTTTGATAGCAAGCGACTGGGGACGAAGCAGGGATAGATCACAGACATTAATGGCTTATTGCAAATTTGGCTGTTTGCAGTAGCCGAAAATGGCGAAATGGTTTGACACAGCAAATATGACTTCCGATTATATATACTGTACTTTCAACAAATTCACTGTTGCCATTATGGACCTATTACCTATAATAACCAAAATTTTGATCTCAACAAGTCTTGACCAACATTTCACCATGTACAGCTTGAAAGAGCATCACAAAATTAGTAATATTCTGAAGTTTCGTTGCGAAATGTTATATTATCCGCATTTTACAACATTTCGCAACGAAACTTCGGAATATTACTAATTTTGTGATGCTCTTTGAAGCTGTGATGAAATTTTTGTCTAGACTTGTTGAGATCAAAATGTTGTTTATTAAGTAATAGGTCCATTGTAACCAACGCCAATTCTTGAAAATTTTCACATTTCTTGTCATTCTGACATTCCAACCGGGGCTGGGTGGCCCACGTGGTGAGGGACAGAATATCGTGTAATAAGTCTACAATTTCATCTAATTCCAGTTTACTGAAAGCATTTTGCGTTATAAAAATTTCTTAGTCGGCATGATATAATAATAATACCACGCTTTCATAAAATGGTCTGAATCTCATTTTCGTATGGACCCCATGCCCCATGGTAACAAACTCTATTGTCTTAATTCAATTCAAATATGTTTGATCTTAGTTGTTGTTGGTGAACGATTGAATAAAATGCACTTGTTGTAGTGCAACAACATAATCGGTGCATATCAAATGCGAAAGCATTGTTTGTTTTTATTACAACCATGGTAATTTAAACTCATTTTGAGGAACTATACATATCATCAACAAGATTTCATTGTGTGTCAATCCTTACAAATTTGAGCTGCTGTCGCATGCAACCTGCTTACAACTTGAGGTGTACTGTGTAAATCAAACACACAACTCGCTTACGTTGTCCACACAACTCACGTTGTAAGCAGGTTGCATGCATGCGACAGTTTTAGGCAAAAGTTGTGTAGTCTAAATCGGTTAGGACTTAGGCGAGATGAATTTCTTCGGGTCACGCCTCTCGGGTTGCATCTCGCTGAGAAATTTCGTTCTCGGTAATTAACTCTTAGTTGTAAAATTCATGCATGAGTAGTTGATTAGGCTACAAACAAATCACGACGCGGTATTTAGGTCACATGTGCACTTTATGAAAGTTATGAATACTAATTCAGAAGCAAGGATGTTTATGAAAGTTATGAATACAAATTCAGATTTTAAATCATGCTAATGAAGCGTGAGATTGTCCCCATGGGCAGCGAGTACTAATAAAGTAAATGCCCATAAATATCAGCTGCTCATATTTTAACTAGTACTTAAGATTTTTTGAGAACATAATTTACAGAACTTCAGACAAGTTGCTAGACGTGCTCCAGTGCTAAGCTTGCTGGGAAGCTCCAAAGTCAATTGATGAACTGAGTATTTTTGGTATACGTACTTGCTGGTGATAAATATCGACTTGTGAAACTAGAATAATGTAAAACTATAGAACAATCCGTGCAATAACAGAGCTGCAAGACTGCTGTTGAACAACAATGGCGACATATCTATATGGCTTCGAAGAAGATAGATTTCAACAAGCCGTCAGCCAGTACTTTAATTGTGTTATCTGTAAAAATGTTCTTAGAGATCCAGTGATGTGTCGTGACGATCAACATTTATTCTGTCGAGCTTGTATTAACACGCATTTGGCGAACTTCGAGAGATGTCCATCTTGTAATCAAGAACTTTGTGTCCACACGCTGCGCGAGGCCCCGAGAGTCGTTACGAACGTCCTGTCTGAGCTCAAGATTCGCTGCGACTACTACAAGCGAGGTTGTCCAAAGTTCGTTGAGTTAGGAGACCTGGAGAAGCATGCAAAGGAATGCGAGTTTGGTCCAGCAATCTGTTCGAACCAAGGCTGTTTTATTGATGTGAACAGACGAGATTTAACGTACCATGAGCGGACAGTATGTGAACGACGGAGAGTAGAATTTCATAACTGTGTTGAGCTGAGACAAGAGATGGGTACAATGAAGCAAACGTTTACAATGATGAACGAGAAACTAGACATGGCAGCAGGCAATGAAGAAATGAAATGTGATTTAAAAGAAATGGCAAAACAACTGGAGAGAATATCGATGCAGTTACAGCATGGTGGTGGAATGAACACAAAGTCAAAAGTGGTTGTTGCTGGAGGAAGCAATGTGGATGAGGTATTAGATTCCGTAGAAATGTTCGATCTATCCAAACAAGCATGGACTCTACTGCAACCAATGAACAGATGTCGTTCTACTGCATCAGCGGTTGTTTATAACAATCAAATGATAGTTTCTGGTGGTTTTGACAATGAAGATGATGTATTAAATTCCTTAGAAGCACTTGAGAATCTTGACGAAGTTAGTCCGTTGTCAACATGGGAAGCTATTCCTGCTGAACTGCCCCAGAATTTGTTTGGTCACCAAAGTGTTGTATTTAATGATAATTTGATTGTTGTTGGAGGAGGTGGAGATGATGATCTCCGCTTTGACAATATCTCTGAAGTTTCTCTTGTCCCTCCTTACACCAGTAAATTGTTGGCTTCAATGGCAAAGAAGACATCTGCTCATGGAATGGAATGTTTTGATAATCAACTTGTAATTGTAGGTGGAGGAAATGCCTCTACTGGAGTTGATAATAAAGTTGTAATTTATGATGTTAGTAAGAATGAATGTAAAGAGTTGGCTCCCTTGCCCTATCCTGTTGGCTTTATGGCCACAGTGAAATGGCATGATAATGTAATTATACTTGGTGGGACGGATGGTGATAACAAAGCATTAAACAAAGTTTTCATTTATAATGTCAAGACCCGGAAGAGTCACATGCTTCCTCCCATGCTGTATAAGAGGAAAGGATGTACGGCAGTTGTTGTTGGTAGTATGATAATTGTTATGGGTGGGCTGGATGAGAACATCCATGTCCTGAAGTCTGTAGAAAGTTTCAATTTCAGCCGTTATACGTGGGAGGAACTTCCATCGATGCATGAAGCGAGAGCGTTCGCCACATTTGTTGCATGTTAACCCTACGTGCATACAGATGTTTCTTTCGTAGTTTTCTCGACTAGACAGCAAGAAATGAACTTTTGATAACGTTTCCAGAAACGAAATTACCCGTCACATTAGAATATAAATGAATGACCTTAATAAATATGTACTGATTTGTAAGCGTATGATTGTTGAAATAGAATTTGGTTAAAAAACTACGTGGCAAGTGTAAATTTAATTTGTGCGGAGGCAAGTAGGTGAACTGAAAATGTTTCGTCAAAATTACGAATCGTAAGTCAGTATGTCACATCATTTAGTGTGTCATGCTCTGATATCTGGTGTTTTGTTGGGAAAATCTGGTATTTTGTTGCCCTATAATCTAGTATTGCACTAGCCTGCGAACAGGCTCTCTTTGAACTCTCTTTCTAATTCAATTCAAAGAGCCTGTTCGCAGGCTAGTATTGCACTTCCAGGGTTTACAAATCTATAGATGGATTGCAACCAATCTCCTGCAAATTAAAAGGCAACAAAACGCTAGCCATATTGGTGCCAAATTCGATGAAAGATAATGAGATTCTTTTGCTGAAATACCACCAACATGGCCGCCGTGACGTAACGTGGAATCGAC